TTATATAAATTTCAAGGGAGTTTCAAATATACTACTACATTTGATCTAACCCCCCCCCCCCCCCTCCCCCACACCTCTGTGAAGAGGGCAGACATGCTCTGGTGAGTTTTTACCCTAAAAGTCAGAAGGTTTTGTGAATTGCTAAAGATCACACTTAAGGGGCCAAAGCAGGATTAGAATCTAAGAATTTTTTGTTTTAGAAGAGGGTTTTTCCCCATAAAATCATATTGGCTCTGCAGTTTAAAAAAAGAAAAAAATAGACATTTTGTAGCCCTTTTCATTTATGGATGTCACTTTACTTACATCAATGTAAGTCCAGGTCACTGTAGTTGAGTGGGACTTGCTGTGAGGATCACTGAGACTGACCAAAAACACCACACAGAGACATCTTCAACACGGTTCTCTTTCATGTCCTTTGGCAAGCTCAGGAATACTCTACTTTAGGAAGGTGGTTTTTGCCTACAATCAAACAGAACTTCTTTTAAAGAGAGAACATGAGAAAAAGGTGGAAAATTCTTCTCTTTCCTATGTTCTCAGGAGTGTACCAGTATACTAAAAATAGAATTAAAATATACTGTGAGTCTTTCCATGAACATTTTGAAGTATTCTTGTATACTCTAGCACCTAGCAGAGTGTGAAAGAAAGTATTTGAAAATCTACCCAAGGCTGTTGCTTAGGAAAATGTAATTCTACTCCCTCCTTAATCTCACCTTCCACACATGAAGACACACACACATTCTCAAATTAGTTAGCTGGATTATTTCTGAGGTGTGACTAAGATTGAAACATTCTTGCAAGGAGTGACTTTTCCTTTTCCTCTGCTTCTGGAAGAAATCAGAAGCCAGAAGAATTCAGAAGAAAAAGACAGCTGACTAAACACGGAGTTGGAGCTCAGTGGATCTTATTATAAAACCTTAATACCCTAGGGAAGTGTATGGATTTCTTTATTTTCTGATGTATTTGCAATTAACAACAATCTACAAGATGTAGATTCAGTTTAGTCAATTTCAATTGACTAAACTGTTAACATCACAAAACTAATCGATAATTATTCTGTTGCAGAATAAATTCTTGGCTGAGACTTTTCTTGGGTTACTTTTTATTTTAAAATAATTTCAAACTTACAGAAAAGTTACAAGAATAGTATGAAGAACTCCTCGAAATAGTTTACTCTGAATCACCAATTACTTACATTTTGTCCCATTTCCTCTCTCTTTCTCTCTCTTACCCTTTAGAGAGTACATTGAGACATCATTTCCCTTTATCGCTTAACATCAGAATGTATTTTTTTAAGTACAAGGGCATTCTCTCACTTAACTATGGTACAGTTGTCAAAGTCAGGATATTTCACATTGATATAATGCAATTATGTAATCCACAGTCCATAATCAAATTTCATCAATTAACTCAGTAATGTCCTTTCAAGCAATTTCCCCCCCAGTATCCAGTCTGGAATCATGCATTAAATTTAGCATGAGAAAATTTAGACTTTAAAATCCTTTTAGACTCTTTTAAACTGGAGCTGTCCCTAGCCCTTCTTTGTCATTCTTAATGTTGGTATTTTTTAAGAGTACAGGACAGTTACTTAGAGAATGTCCTTCAATTTTAGTATGTCTGACTTCCCTCATGATTTAAAAATGATAACTAAGCATTTTTATTTTTGGTCAGGAATTTCACAGAAGTAATGTTGTATCTCTCAGGAAATCACATCAGAAGATACATCATGTTGATTTGTGCTATTATTAGTCATTATACCTTTGATGCTTGCTTAAGGTAGTATCCAACAAGTTTCTTCACTGTAAAGTTACAATTTTTCTCTTCATAAGTCATTTTCCAGGAGATTCTTTGAAACTATGCAACTATCCCTTTCTCATCAAATTTTCACCCATTTGTTTTGGCAACCACTGATGATTTTCTAAATCCATTATTCTCAAGTTATTTGTAGGCAATTTATTGCAAGGAAGAGCTTTACCTTCTCCCCCATGTATTTATGTATTCATTTTTTATCAGAGTAAGAATTCATGGATTCTTATTTAATTCAACGAGTTATAATCCCATTATTTATTTTGATATCACAGTTCCCCCAGATTTGGCCAGTCCTCTCAAGCAGGCTCCTGTGTCCTTCACACCTGTTCCCATGATTCTCTGAGAACATCCTTACTTTTTGGCACAGCGGGATGTTCCAGGATCATCTTGGACTTTTTCTGACCCAGTACGGGAAAGAGCCTTTTCGCCAAGGAATCCTGGTTTCTTTTAGTGGAGGATGGCATTTAGAAATCATCATCTGGAAACTAATTGTGCTCAGGCTGCAAGCTTGTCGTTGCGTCTAGCAGTCAGAGCTAGGAAATATATTTCTCTTGGTGTATCCATATGCCAATATCTGCAATTAAAAATCATTGAATTCATAATGAAACCTGAAATTACAATCCAGTACCACAGGGTACATTTTAGTCTTCCCACTTTACAAATTTATAACTCTCTTCCCCAGCAGTGAGAAACCTGCCTTCCTCCATTATCCTCAATATTTCTTTTTTCATTTGCTCAGGCTAGAAAACAGAGAAGGTTGTTTCTTTTTTTTTTTTCCTTTAAATTTTTATTTTGTCAATATACAATATAGTTGATTATTATGGCCCATCACCGAAACCTCCCTCCCTCCTCCCTCGAGAAGGTTGTTTCTTTTTTTTTTTTCCTTTAAATTTTTATTTTGTCAATATACAATATAGTTGATTATTATGGCCCATCACCGAAACCTCCCTCCCTCCTCCCTCGAGAAGGTTGTTTCTGAATTGCTGACACTAACACCGCAAAAATGCAAACCAACTTACTAAAGTTCAATATTTATCTACAGTTATTTTTAGATAAAATTTGTGTACATTGAAATTCACAAATCTAATGAACACAATTCAATGAATTTTGACAAATGCACACTTCTTTGTTACAACACCCCATCAAAACATACAATTTTTCAGTCATCCCAGAAAGTTCCTTCCTTTAGTCAACACTCTCCCAAAAGACAGTCACTTTTCTGGCCTTGTTATTTTTACAAAGGTTAGTTTTCTTGGTTGAGATTTTAACAAGTGTTTTTTTCTATTTAGAGGGCTTTTGAAGAAAACTCAGAAATATTGTAATTTCTCATAGATGAATATTGACCTATAGCATATTATTTTTTAGGTGAATTAATGTATGTAACAAATTCTTGAACCAAAATAAAATGCAGACTTTTCCCGGGGCCTGTGATATTCTCCTGATCTGGCCTCTGCTGACCTTGCCAAACCTGTCTTTCGCTCAGCCTGTTTCACTGTCCTCCAGCCGCAGGACAGCTCTCAGTTCCTCAACCATATTGAGTTCTTTTTTTTTTTTTTTTTTTTTTTTAAAGATGACCGGTAAGGAGACCTTAACCCTTGACTTGGTGTTGTCAGCACCACGCTCAGCCAGTGAGCGAACCGGCCATCCCTATACGGGATGACAACCCGTGGCCTTGGTGTTATCAGCACCGCACTCTCCCGAGTGAGCCACGGGCCGGCCCAACCAAATTGAGTTCTTGTTGGCCTCAGGAACTTGCACTTCCTGTCCTCACTGCTGGAGCACACTTTCCTTCATCTTCACTTGCCCAGCTTTCTCTCATTGTTCACATCTCAGCAAACCATCATCTGTTCCAAGAGATTGTCTCTGACGATGCTCCCTAAATTGCTTACCACTTTTTCTGAGTCATTCTCTGTCGCCTCCCCTGTTCTACTCTCTATAGACTCTCATCATTCTCCTAAATTATTTGTGTGTCTATTGTCTATCACCCTGTAAAAAGTCGGACCTTACATTATACAGTCTTTGTTGTTTCCTCAACACTTAGAATAATGTCTGCAAACGTGTGTGTGTGTGTGTGTGTGTGTGTGTGTGTGTGTGTGTGTAGGGAAGGGGCTCAATAAATATTCGTTGATGGAGAGAACAAACCTAAGGATACTAGGGAGGGGGTTGTGGGGAGAGAGATGGTAAAGGGCATAAAGAAAAATTATGATTTGTAATAATGAATGTGCTAATAATAATAATAATAATAAAAGAACGATCTAATAATTTAGCTTCGTATTCTTTATGGTATGCTTTCCTTAGTCCCTGAGAATCCTGAAGGACAAAATATTTTCATTACAGAAATGATTAATGAATAGAAATCAATATTTCTTTACTTTTCCTTTCTTTTACACTTTTTACTTGGCTTAGTTTTCTAATGAGCAAATAAACAATACTGTCTTACTGTGATATACTTACAGGTAAAAAAGTACATTCATTGATTTTTTTTTTAACACTTACTCAGAAAAAATATTTTTACTTTGAAATCATGGAAACACTAAATATGAACATTTTAACTTACACAAGCATATGTCTAGTTAGAACCATAAAAGAATGCTGCTGTCTCTTTTCAAAAGTGAGCTTTAAACTAGGCCGAAGGTTATTTTACCTGGGGGGTTACTCAGTACTGCCTTAGCATGGAAATAAAACGGGGGAGTTTGTCCCTAGTGTAATATAAATAAGAAAGAATGTACCAGTAGAGACAGGAACCGGGGACTCTGGAATATGCTGCTCCACTCTGTGACAGAACACAGCTGCTCACTTCTGGGGAGGACAGATAGAAACAAGCCTTTGAATTTGGCTTTGTGTTTATCCACTTGTTGCTCAACAGCTGTGCGGTAGAGAGAGTGAGAGCTCATCTCATAATTGGATTTATTTTTATTCATCTAAAGATTTTTAGTTATGGCATCAAAATATCTAAATATTTGAATAAAATATCTGAAGCAGTGTCAGTCGGGATTTTCATTTATTTGTTAACCTAAAAATTCCAGGAAAGACTATAATAACTATTTGATAGTTTCTGGATAGAACCTCACTTTAAGAAATGTAATCATTATAATGACATAGTTGATTTTTTTTTTTTTCTGGGAATAGGAACATAGTGGCTGGAAGAGGAGGCAGCATGCATTTTGTGTGTGTGTGTGTGTTTTGTTTCTAAGGAGCATAGCGGCCACTGATCATGAACCAACAGATGCCAGGAAATCCTTCCCTTGTTTTGATGAGCCCAACAAAAAGGCAACTTACACGATATCCATCATCCACCCCAATGACTATGGTGCACTTTCAAACATGCCAGTGGAGGTGAGTGTTTTTAAAATACTTTGTTTATGCAGGTAGCCTGTTTATAATATCAGGTAAATTACCTGATTTGCTATGGAAGAGAACCCACTGAATTTTAAAACTAAATGTGCACTAGTCATTTATTTAAAAGATTAAGAATACATTTTGACAGTCTCTTTTTCTTTGAGGCCTAGAAGTCTTTAACTTAAGATAACACAGTCCAGTAGAAAAACCATTAAGTTTCTAAGTAAGAGAGTATGTAATAGAACATACATTATTAGCTTGGGCTCTGCTTAACTGACAGAATCCCTTAATCGTGACAAATTAGTGGCATACTAATGGAATTACCGGTATAAAAATATTTGACAGCTTACGCACTATTTTTAGTTTTCAGTTGAATATAAACCCAGTTTGTTATAAAAGTATAAAGCTACTGTAAAAAATCATCAGTTAAATACTGGGTTATAGAAGCCAACTCCAGGGAACACCATACCCATAAATTTTCTAGTGAATGGGAAATACTTGATAAATGTTAAAGCAGGCTACAGGGGCCGGCCCGGTGGCGCACTGCTACAGTGCGCCGCTTGGGAAGCGCGGCAGCGCTCCCACTGAGGGTTCGGATCCCACATACAGACCGGTTCCCGCTCACTGGCTGAGCGAGGTGCGGGAGCAACACCGAGGGTTGCGATCCCATAGCCGGTCCTGGTCCAGTGCGGGCGTGACACTGAGGGTTGCGATCCGTTGCCGGTCACAAAAAAAAAAAAAAAAAAAAAAAGGAAAAAAAAAAAAAAAAGCAGGCTACAATAATTTCTGCCTGCATAATTATCAATTAACGTAAGACTCTTTCCTCTGTTATTGCTCCTCATCTCCATAATGGGTGATGTAATAAACGAGAGTGTCATTTCCTCAAAGTTGAGGTTTACCATGCTTTATACTTTTTACATGTAAAAGCGTCAGGCTCATCCTTAGGTATAATTGTCATCTACCTAGTACCAGAAGGACTCCCAGCCCATCTTTCTGATCTACTATTTGAAATATCATCATTGAAATTCATCCCTTTTAATAATAAAATATTCCTCGAAAAAACAAAAACAAAATAAAGCAAACGAAAGCTTAAGAGGATTAAAAGGTAAACTCTCATCAGCTCTCCATGTCTCAGTGTGAATTAGTTTATCAACTTGTTTTCTCCTGGTGTCAGGCACCTGAGAAATTAAGTTTTGATTGGAGAAGAAAGAAGAAAGGATACACTTAAATATGACACACCAATCCAGAAGATTGGATCAGGGTAAAATGTCATCAGAATTGTCTTGGTATGGATGGGGGGAAGTAAAGGCGGGAGGAGCAAAAAGGCACCTCTGCTTAGGTCTCCCCATATGACCTTTTTGTTTTGCAGACTTATTCTTCTTCCCCTTCTACTAGATCCATATAATAGTCCTGGAAGAAGGAGAATATTCTGGGTCATTAAGACATCACAGCTAATACTGCTTGGCTTTTATCGTAGAGTAACTTATCTTGCTGTGGCTCCAACACTTTTGTACAAACACAAGCACACACATGTCAGTGAGGTACCAATTCTAGTCCAGCTTCCCTCCGTTAATTTCTTTTTAAAGCTTCCCACTTGGAGAGTGACGTAGAGACTGGCTGCAGGGGATGTGGAAATGTTTAAACAATGGCAGCAGGAGTTGGACGAGTATTCATGGTTAAGTATTAAGATTGGTGATTGACCATGAGGAGGGCAGAGCTGGCATGGACAAAAAAACCCTGATGGATCAGCAGCTGTGGCAGGCAAGGGAATCTTTTTCTCTGTCCATGGTAACCAAAGCACTGACTTTAGTGACCATACTTAGGGTCTTCAATGTAGACAGCCAGAGGTGGAAGAGAGAAGCCCACATTCCACTCTGTCTGATGCAGCGATTGTTTTTCTGCACATAGTCTAATCTGCAAATACCTCCTTAGCTCTTCCTCAAAACACTGAGTGCTAGCCCCTATCCTTCCTTAAGAGATCACAGAGTCCCCTCAAATATTACAGTCAGGATTGTGTGTTTAGTGTAGAAAGATAAACTCCTGTACAATTGATGTCACAGTCAAAGTTTTATTTCTCCCTAAGTACCCTAATACAGTGCCTAATCCAATCACTCTTTCACAGTACTGAATATGAGGTGAATTTTTCTTTAGTCTTTCAACATCACCACAAACTATTTTACCCCTAAGTTGTTTTTTTTTTTCCCCTTTTTTTGTCTTTTTTTACTGACCGGTAACGGGATTGCAACCCTCGGTGTCGCGCCCATACCGGGGACCGGCAATGGGATTGCAACCCTCGGTGTTGCGCCCGCACCGCGCTCAGCCAGTGAGCGGGAACCGGTCTCCACATGGGATCCGAACCCTCGGCGGGAGCGCCGCCGCACTCCCAAGTGGCGCACTCTGCAGTGCGCCACCGGGCCGGCCCTACCCCTAAGTTTTAACAGAGAGCTTCTGACCAGAAAGCCAGGTTTGGGGCAACCATTTGTTTGTCTTGTACACAACTGATCTTTTGATAAATAAAAGACGATCTTTTATTTTCAACAGAGTGAAGAGTCTGTGGATGATACATGGAAACGAACAACTTTCCAGAAGTCTGTTCCCATGAGTACTTACCTGGTGTGCTTTGCCATACATCAATTTTACCCTGTGGAGCGAATGTCAAATAGTGGAAAACCTGTAAGTCCCACTACATTTAAAAAATTTACCACTTATGCATTTGTGATTAATTTTCTACTTTTTTGAGCAGGTTCCCCCCCGCCCACCCCCCACACACAACAGGCCAGATAAGCCCATTAGTCACCAGGGTCTGTGAACCTGATAATACATTGAACAATGTAGAAAAATGTATGCTGAAAGGACAGAAACAAACTAACAAACATGGCAGACATAGATCTTCATGGTCTTGAATTATTTTAGGGGGAAAATTCACTGTAAATCAAAAGCAAGCTCCTAAGTACACCAACACAAATGTAAGAAAATATTTCAGCGTGCCTAGTTTAGTAAAATGTTTAAGTGTATGTGTCGGGGGGATGTCCTAGGTAGAGACCAGAGAGGTAGGAGGAAACCAGCAGTATTCGAGTCACTAAGCACTGAGAAGTTTATGGAGCCATTCCTATATGTAATTCAACATAGGACAGCAACAAAGTGTCAATAAACATTTTAAAATGTGTGAGAAAATAGAAATGAGCTTTCTCAAAGATCGAGATGACTAGTTCAATAATTTTCTTTTGAAAAAACCAAATACTTTTACCTAATCATTTTTTTTTTATTTTGGAGGCCCTGTTTTGCTTATGCCCTGAACACTTACTTAGTCCAAGCAAGTTAATCCACCTCTGTGCCATATATTTTATAGATACATAAAACTTGATAAATTTCACAATATTATTTTATAAGAAAGAAATCATCGCCCCCATTTTACAGATGAGAAAATTGAAACTTAATGAGTTTAAATAATTTACTCAAGATCACCCAGCTGGCCAGTGACAAAGACTCATATTCCAAATTCTTTCCAAGTACTGTGCCCTGCTAAGCCCTCTGAAATAGGATATTTTGAAAATATCTTTACCTCTTTACCAGTTATTGGAAGGGAAAGGATGGGTTTCTCTATTTCCTGTGAAACTAGCTTCCGGGAAAATTTACCTTCATTTTGGTGCATTAAGGGTTGATATTCAGATACCCTAAACCTGGGTGTCCAGCATGCTTCCTATACGGTACAGGGGAATGTGCAAAGGCCTTTCCAAAGGGGCTGCGTATGTATCATGATGACTCATCTGACTGTTGTCTTTCCCATGCCACATATGTGGCTTTGATGTGACCTTCAGTTGTGGTAAAGGGCACTACCAGTGACTAACATATAATATTAGGTATGAAAAAGAAATGGCATCAGAAAGAGAAAGTTGATCTAGACTGTGCTGAATGTAGTCGGTGGCACGCCTCTTGCTTAATATAGAGGAGAGAACATTAGCCAAGCTTGTTTCTCCTTTCAGTCTCATAGAACATGGAATTTCTATCTGCGAGTGCTTTCTTTATCACCCACAATTCAATTGTGTGGCTATCTTTTATCATATGCAGGTGTTTTCCACACCAATTTTTAAAAATTATGATTACATAAGTTTCTATAAGACAGTGCAAAAAGGCTAAACAATTCTAACGATGATATCGTTTCATAAATAAGAACATTGCAACCAACCAATCAGCAGAGGATGTTGTACTTGGAGTCATTTTCTAAAAGTGACACCAAGCTTGAATTTCCAATATGACTCTTTTACCTGGTCCTCTGACAAAGGATACTTATTTGTTTGTTTTTTAATTTTTACTTATTTGTTTTTTTAATCGTTTTTTGGTGAAACATACTGATTATACATATTTGTGGGGTACAGAGTTGTATTTCAATATATGTATGTAATGTGTGATGATCAAATCAAGGTAATTAGCATATTCATCATTACAAAACTTAATCACTTTGCGGGATGAGGACATTCAATTTCCTCTCTTCTAGCCATTTGATAGCATACAGTAAATTATTGATAATTATAGATGCCTAGCTCACTGTACACCAATAGAATTTATTTTTCCTATCTAGCTGTTTTGCAAGGACACTTATTTGTAAGGTAGCTACACTAGCTGGGTGAGTCATTAGAGCCCATTCCAGAAAGTGAGCCGTGGAACTGAGCACAGTAGGTATCTTTTCCTCCTTCCTCTATCCCTTCTTCAGAAGACAGAGTTTTCCCTCATGTGAAAAATCTGCAGGGCCATTCCCTTCAAAGGCTGAAAAGAACCTTATGGGAGAAATTTAAGGCGTCTAGTGTGAGTGTTAATGCTCCACAGGAAATTGCTCCTCTTTGGCATTTGGGAGGTTCCCCTCCTGGCTCCCTCCCCTCTCACTCTAAATTAAAGTTTAATAGTTGACACCCAAGTACAAAATGCTCCTGGTATGATTTCCCACTCCAGGGAGATTTACAGGAAATCAACCTACTTAACTCTACTGAAATGTAATATCAGAGGAAATCACCACAGCCTCATTGTCCTGCATTCTTAGAACTGAACAACTGAAGACAGTCAGGTATGTGAGGAAAACAGGAACATAAAAAAGAAAATCCAAGACAAATAAAAACACCGTGGGAGTAAATAGCAATAATTGCAGAAATAAAAGGTAATTCCAAAAAAAGTTATAAAAAATTAAACATTCTAACACATACACAACTTTTATTTAGTGTACTCAGAGATTTCAGAAGATATGACCGTCATAAAATGAAAACAAAAAAGTGATGAGGAAATAATCAGAAATAGTAGTCAGAATTTAAAAATGTAATTTTCAAAGCATGACCTGGGTTCAATCCCCAAGAACCTGTTTCTGACCAATTCCTTTCGAAACCAGAGCCCAATAAGCCTATAGCTTCAGTTCCTGCCCACTGCTTTGTATTTTTATTGACTCCATAGGCATGTTTAAAGCCCTGATATGTTTTGGGGGAGGCTTTACCATACTTATATTTTATCAATCATTTCTGAAGGTTAGGACCAGTGGGGGCACATCAAAGCATCAATTTAATTCACCATCTTGAACCGAAGTCCCTAATGTACTTTTTCAGTTAAAAAAAAAATTAATGAAGCTAGGTAGTAGTTATCTACACCATTTTTAGTAGAAATTTTATAAATCAAAAAGCCATTCTTCTTCATTCTGCTTCCGACGATATTATTGTGGTACAATAATCACCTGCTATTTATAATCAGATTATGGTCAATCCAAGAATCTGTAATCTCTGATTCAACTCGCTTGGGTATGTCCACCCCTCTGACAAGAGTTCCTTTATATCAATAAACACAGAATCAAGGCCTGTGTTCTCCTTAATTGCTTACTTGGAGAGAACATAGCAGACGTTAGTAATTGAACCATTCGTTATGCTTAAAATATCCTTGTTTCTCATGAGAAAAATTTAATTTAAAAGTAGCTCAGGAAACTTTTGACTCTGCATATTTTCTTTCTTTTTTTTAAAAAAGATTAGTTGCATTACATTTTGATTAAATCCTGAGTAACTTGAAGAGTTAGAGTAGTTTAGCAACAATTGAGGCCAGCCACTGATGGAAGGACTTTTTACATCTCTGTTGTAAAGAAATCTAGTCCTGAGGCCTTTTTCAGGTTTAGTTGATAGGTTAAGGCTTTTAAAATAAATGAAATAACTGAATTCCACCCCAGAAAAACCAACCAACCGACCCTGAACTGTAGGAAGTGTAGAGAGATTATATACCTTTATAGTTATGTGAAGTAACTCTTTTCAATAAAAGAATGCGATCCTGTTGTTCTTGCAGGAGTCATAACATGGGAAAGAAAATCCCTGATGCGCACGTTATTAACCTGATAGTGCAGCTCAGCTGGGATATACTGCAGTTCACTCTCAAATATGGAATGACGTGCATTAGAATGATATTTTTACGTATTTTAAATTATAGGTTTAATGCACATACATTATAGAAAATTTGGAAGAAAAACAGGAAGTAGGAAAAAGTCATTAGGCTTGTGATGCCTTCTGAGATATATTTGACATAACAGTAATATTGCCAGAATGTTGTAGCTTTGTATCAACCTTCAAGGGATCAAATTTTGGACAAGTTAAATGGCAAGTTCAAGACAAGTTACTGTTCCTGAGAAACAGTAAGTTCTAATGAGGCATTCAATTTCTTTGGGGCATTTTGCCTCTGTCTTTTGTAAAGAAAAATGTGCAAAAAGGAGCAATTACCTTGTTAGAGATGATTTTTTTTTTTTCCCCTTTTTGTCTTTTTTCGTGTCCGGCAACGGATCGCAACCCTCAGTGTTGTGCCCGTACTGGACTGGGACTGGCAATGGGATCGCAACCCTCAGTGTTGCGCCCGTACCGGACCGGGACTGGCAACGGGATCGCAACCCTCGGTGCTGCGCCCGCACCTCGCTCAGCCAGTGAGCGGGAACCGGTCTGTATGTGGGATCCGAACCCTCGGCGGGAGCGCCGCCGTGCTCCCAAGCAGCGCACTGTAGCAGTGCGCCACCAGGCCGGCCCCAGAGATGATTTTAACTCTAGCCAAATTCTCTTTGGCTTTCTTGATCAGAGCAGGAAGTTGAGAAGAACCTCTTAGTAAGAGAATGCTGGTGGAAAGTACTATCCATTTAATTAGGTTTATACTATAACCATATTAAACCTAATAACCCAGTAAAAGACATTTGATTGTGCTTTCTCCCAAAAAGCCTTACAGGATGATTCCTGAATAATTGCACCTAGAATTATACCTGTGAATGAAGCCTTCCTCCCTGCCTCTGTCTTCTTACTCACGTCCACCTTGATTAGAAAGATTGGTCGAGGGCAGAGAGTATGTATACCTTGACTTTTTTTTTTTCCTTTTTCTCTTTTTTCATGACTGGTAACGGGATCGCAACCCTCGGTGTCGCGCCCGCACCGCGCTCAACCAGTGAGCGGACCAGTCTCTATATGGGATCCGACCCCTCGGCGGGAGCGCCACTGCGCTCCCAAGTGCCGCACTCTACCGAGTGCGCTACTGGGCCGGCCCTACCTTGACTTTTTTTAAAAAATAGACTTAATTTATTAAAACAGTTTTGGTTTTATGCCATGGATTTTAATTTATGCATTTCCCTTCATGGAAATAATCATATTAAAAAAAGTTTCATTTGAATACTCAGAGATGTATTTTTAAACTTCTTATTTTGAAATAAATTTAGATTTACAGTTGCAAAGATACAACAGAATCCTCATGTAACCTTCACTTTGTTTCCCCCAATGTCAACATTTTATATAACTGTTTATTATACATACATTCATCAAAACTAAGAAATTAATATTTGTACAATACTATACTAACTAAAACACAGGCTTTACTAGGATTTCACCCGTTTTTCAAGTAGTGTGATATATATTTTTTCAAAATCTAGTAGATGAAACAACCACATTGTTAGTCAAGATGTCTCCTTAATTTCCTCTAATCTGTGACATTTTCTCAGTCTTTGTTTTTTTAAGAGTACTGATCAGGTATTTTGTAAAGTGTCCTTCAGTTGGGTTTGTGGCATGTTCTCTCAAGATTAGTTTGGAGTTTTGGATTGGGAGAAGAATACCACAGAGGTAAAGGGTCCTTTTCATCACATCCTATCAGGAGGTGTATGGTATTAACATGACTTATTACTGGAGATGCTAACTTTGATGACTTGGTTAAGACGGCGTCCTCTCAGTTTCTCCACTATAATTTACTCTTTATCTTTTCCATATTTTGTTTGTTAGAAGCAATCGCTAAGCACCATTATAATGCCAAGTTCAAAGGTTCAGATCCCTGCACCTGCCAGCCACCAAAAAAAAAAAAAAAAAAAAAAAA